TTAACTATATTTTTCAGGTTGCACGTGTAGAATGAGTGAGTCTAAGTCCTTTCTTGTAAATGCTCTAAGGGAAGAAGGTCAAGAACCTAACATCAGGTGTTGGCTTGAACAAATGGTAAATTCTCCTGGCAGCTTTTAGCTTCCTCAGGCAGGCATTTAAGTAGGAGCTGGGGTCATCCTATGGACAGGCATGCTAGAAGCCAGGCTAAAGTTGGGTCATCTCTTAGTGCAGAGGTTTGTACTGAGTCATTATGTGACAAGAGTCTGCAGCTCTCAATATATACATAATCTTTTGCAATCAACTTCCAGAGATTCTCATTCCACAGGCACAAGTCAGCCCTGCCTAGAGAAAGCTCATTTTATAGGCCATGTTCTAAGCCCCAAAGGGCAGTAGCAAAAAAAAAAAAAATTGAAAGAAAAAATCAGATCCAGTGCAAAATAATTGTGTCTCCTAAAGACCCGCTCTGGACTTCTTAATCCCACAGTCAGGAACCGTGGAATTCATCAAGTTTCTCCTTCCTCACCAGGCTGCTGGGAAGCTCAGGTTTAAGTCACTTGGTTAATCAACTACGCTAGCCCTGGGAGTTAGCAAACAGGTGTTCTATTTTTCTTCTATTTTGCTTTCCTATTTTTATTTCTGTAACCATATTGTTTATATTTCTTTGGGGATGAGGATGGAGAGGCAGGAAAAGAAACAAAATAAACCACAGATACTTTGTTCATGCTGAAGCTCTGCCTCCAACTTTATCTTGAATTGTATGTGATGTGGTGTGGAGTGTTATAAGCAAATTCATGAAGAATTCCTGGGATGAGTATTTAATGAGCATGCCCTTCACACACAGCACAGTTGTCAGGGCACAATCTGCTGGGGGAAGGGAGGGCCTTAGTTTTCTACTACAGCATAACAAATTACCAGAAATGTAGCAGCTTACAACTCACATTTGTTGTCTCACAGTTTCCACAAGTCTGGAATCCAAGCAGGATTTCCTGCCTCAGGTCTCACAAGGCTGTGGTGGAGGTGTCAGCTGGGCTGCATTCCTCAGGCTCTGGGGGAGAACCCCTTCCAGGTTCACTCAGGTTATCCACAGAGTTCATCGCTGGGAAGATGCAGGACTGAGTTCTGGGCTTTGTGCTGTCAGCTAGAGGCTGCCCTTAGCAACTAATGGCCACCCACAGTCTTTGCCAGATGGGCCCGCCAGCATGGCCACTTACTTCATTGAGCTGGCCAGGAGTGCCTCTAGGATGGGTTTAACAGTGTGAGGGTGTCTTAATCTTAGAAGTGACATCTCCACCTTTGCCATATTCTGTGGGACAGAAGGAAGTCCCAGGTCCTGTCCACGCTCGAGGGGAAGGGATTACATCAAGGAGTATACAACAGGAGTCACAGATCATGGATAATGCTAGGCAACATGGGAAAACCCCATCTCTACAAAAAGTACAAAAATTAGTTGAGTGTGGTGGCATGCATCTGTAGTCCCAGCTACTTGAGAGGCTGAGGTGGGAGGATCACTTAAACCCAGGAGATTGAGGCTGCTGCCACTGCACTCCAGCCTGGGCTGCAGAGTGAGATCCATCAGAAAGAAAGAAAGAGAAAGAAAGAAAGGAAGAAAGAAAGAGAGAAAGAGAAAGAAAAGAAAAGAAAGATAAGAAAGAAGGAAGGAAGGAAGGAAGGAAGGAAGGAAGGAAAGAAAGAGAAAGAAAGAAAGAAAGAGAAAGGAAAGAAAGAAAGAAGGAGGGAAAGAGAGAGAAAGAGAGAGAGAGAAAGAAAGGAGGGAGGGAAGGAAGGAAGGAAGGAAGGAAGGAAGGAAGGAAGGAAGGAAGGAAAAGAAATATGATCCCATGGGCAACAAAGATCACGTCAGCTTAAAAGATCATGGAGGCTTTCAGGAGGGGGGCCACCTGGCCTGGTAACTGTAGGCAGGAGAAAAATGGTGGGAAGAGAGTCTGGAAAGATAAGCTGGGACTGGATTTGTTGGGTGTTAAGTACCAGGATTTTCAAATTTATCACACAGGCCTGTGCTTCTAGAAACAGGCTCAGTGGCATTGTGCCCGTGGTTGATATTTGAACCAAGTAGGCATAGCTCTTCATGGAGCATTGATTTTACTAGAATACTTTTCTGAGGAAAACATATTAATTTTTTTATATTAGAGTAACTATCATAGAGTAGAATGCAGAATTAAAACTTATTTCTCACTTCAAATGATTTTCTCTGGCTCTGGTGGAAATTTTTGAGCAGGAAGACCCCTGAGTAGCGGCTGGCCAGAACAGCTGTCAGATAAGGGGTACAGGGCAAGGGCAGCCAGAGACACAGGATGTGGAAGGGGGACACATGAGTCCTCAGCCAGCTGTGGGGTCAAGGAAGGCTTCCAAAGGGTTCCTAGGCTAAGCCAAGTGGTCCCTCACCAGTATGAGAAGGAGAGACAAGTTTTAAATGGATGGCAGAAATCTTAGGGCGCAAAGAAGACCTGTGTGAATTTTTCCCCCAGGATCAAGGCTATTTCCAAAGTGTCTCATAGCTGTGGAGGGAAGAGGGACATTCTACCTATCTTGCACTCTCCTCTGTGTTTCAAAGAGGCACGTATCTCAATATTTAGACCAGCAGTTGACAAACTATGGCCCACGGGCCACATCCAGCCCACTGCCAGTTTTTGTACAGCCTAGGACTAAGAATGGTTTTTACATTTTTATATGGTTGAAAAAAAATCAAAAGAATAAGATTTTTTGACAGAGGAAAATCATATGAAATTCAAATTCCAGTGTCCCTATATAAACTTGGATTGGAACCCAGCCTGCTCACTCCCTTACGTATTGTCTGTGTCTGCTTACACACTACAATGGCAGCGTTGAGCAGTTGCAACAGAAAAGCCTAAAACATTTACTATCTGGCCCCTTGTGGAAAAAAGTTGGACAGGTTAAGCCCTGCGGGGATTTGCAGCAGGGGGAGTCCCCAGGGACACTAATTCTCTGCCAGTAAGCCTCACCCTCAGCTCACCTTCTACAATGATGCCATCTACATCTGTATTTCCCAACCTGTACTCCAAGACATGCAGTTAGAAAAGAGAGCAGAAAAGTCTCTATAGTCAAATAAATTAAGTCCTGGGTTTTGGGTTTTTTTTTTTTTTTTTTTAAAGAAGAAAGAAAGAAAGAAAAAGAATGAAGGAGAGGAAGAAAGAGAAAGAGGAAGAGGGAGAGAGAGCGGGGGTGTTGTTTTATTGCCTGGGCTGGAATGCAGTCTAAAAATGGGTATGCCTATAATTGTGCTTAATAATAGAGACATGAAAAAAAAATGAGGGAAGAAAATAACAAACAAGCAGCCAACCAATATTTCATTTAAACCTGTAAATAGATGTGATGTGGTACTGATAAGAGTGTATGTTTTGTGGATTTAAAGTGGAGAGTTCTATAAATGTTAATTAAGTTTACTTGTTCCGGATCTGAGTTCAAATCCTGGATATCGTTGTTAATTTTCTGTCTCATTGATCTAATATTGATGTTGAAGTCTCCCACTATTATTGTATGGAAGTCTAAGTCTCTTTATAAGTCTTATATATCTGGGTATTCCTATATTGGGTGCGTATATATTTAGGATCTTTAGCTCTTCTTGTTGCATTGATCCTTTTATCATTATGTAATATCCTTCTTTGCTTCTTTTGATCTTTGTTGCTTTAAAGCAACTCCTGCTTTTTATTTATTTATTAATTTTTGCTCTCCATTTGGTTGGTAAATCTTTCTCCATCCCTTTGTTTTGAGTCTTTGTGTATCCTTGCATGTAAGATGGGTCTGGATGCAGCATACTGATGGGTTTTGGCTTTTTTTGCCTGTCTGTGTCTTTGGATTGGGGGATTTTGTCGATTTAAATTTAGAATTAATAATAATATATGTGAGTTTAATACTGCCATTTAATGTTAGCTGACTGTTTTGCCTATTAGTTGATGTAAATTCTTGATTATGTTGATGCTCTTTACTTTTTGGTATTTTTTAGAAAGGCTGATACTGGTTGTTCCTTTCTATGTGTAGTAGTTCTTTCAGAAGCTCTTGTAAAGCAGGCCTGGTGGTGATGAAATCTCTGAGTGCTTGCTTGTTCACAAAAGATTTTATTTTTCCTTCGCTTATGAAGCTTAGTTTGGCTGGATGTAAAATTCTGGGTTGAAAGTTCTTTTCTTTAAGGGTGTTGAATATTGGCCCCCACTCTCTTCTAGCTTGTAGGGTTTTTTTAAGGGTAAAATGAGTTTATTACTGCAAATGTTTCCAGCTCTTTATGCACTGTGACCATCCACATTGGGGATACACATTTTGGCATCTGCCAAACTTATTTTACCACTCAACATTTTTTAAAGAAATATTTATTATTATCTCAAAATCTGCCATGCACAACACAGTTTATCAATGCTATTCTAGAGCTTTACCAGATATTCAGGAAATTGTCTCCTAATGTGGGGAAAATAAATCCTCCTTCTTAGTGAAGCCCCTTGGCTCACTCTGTCACCCAGGTAGGAGTGCATTGGTACCATCATGGCTTACTGCAGCCTCAAAAGTCTGGGGTTGAGGGATCCTCCTGCCTCAGCCTCCCAAATAGCTGGGACTACAGGTATGTGCCACCATACCCAGCTAATTTTTGTTTTTTGTAGAGGTGGACTCTCACGATATGGCCCAAGCTGACCCCCGTTCATTTAGTGCCCTCTTCGGTCATGGGAATTTGATGTGGCAATTGGTCATGCAGACCCTTCTCTCACTGCGGGGACACTCACTCATTCACTCCCCCATCTATCCCATTTCCCCCAACATTTCCCCCTCCAAGACATGGGAAGACAGGAATTTTCAAGCCACCGGTTACAACCCAACACCGGGTCACAGAATCAATTTAGAAGGTCAGAAAGCAGCATTTTAAAAAAAAGTAAACTGTAATAGCCTATAAAATATCAGAGTGTATCTCAGTAGTATTTAGTGATATGTTTGTATCAGTGCTGGATCATAGCATGAAAATATATTTCTTACTTTTGGTCATGGTCAAAAACATTTGAAAACCAATGTGCTAAGATGCCAACAAAATACAAAAGCACAGCAAAGCTTTCTAGACAAGAGTTGTTTATCAAAAGTGTAACATCTGTTTCACAATTCATTCTCTCGTGTTTCATCCCAGTGTGTGCCTCTTAAATTGCAAACATTGGGACTCAAGGATTGTGCCTTTTGATTGACTGCTGTATCTTTCACTCGACACTGTTTGTGGGACTCCCTTCCCTCCGGAGGCTGCATAAATATTTGATGCTGATAATGAAGTGGAATTTACAGTTAACAGCAAAAGTTCTCCAGCCTAAGTTTTCTATCCCACATCCCACTTCTGCATGGTGTCCCAGAGTTTTCTCTACATACAACCTAATAGGACTCCAGGAGCAGTGCTTTTCTTTTCTTCTGCAGAAAATACCCACACATGGCAACAACCTCTTTTTAAGCTGTAGGTTTCCAGCCTTAACGCCATCCTCTCTTGCCAGACACCCTCTGCTGCAGCCACTATCTTCGGGAATCTTCCATGCCTCTGTGTGCACTGTGATTCCCTCTGCTTCATAGTTTCTCCCTTCAGACTTTTCTCCTGCTAAAATCCCTTGTACTGCCAAAAGCCTGAGTTGCATAGACCTTCTGTCTACAAAACCTTTTCTTATGGCCCAACACATAAAGTTATTTGCATCCTTTTTCATGACCATGCAGGATTTGGTGCCTACATCTGTACAGCAATGATGCCACTAAATTGTAAGCTCTGACATGCCTATTTCTTAAGCCTGCCCATTGGCTTCCCCAGGGCAAGGACTGTGTTTTATTTATCTCAGACTCATCCATGCCTGGCATGGCAGGGCACGAAGTAGGTTCCCCATAGTATTTTAAGTGTGAATGAAAGAGAAGAGATAGTATAAAATATTAGAGTGCAAAGGTTTGCATATGGAGGAGACCATCCATCTTACTGCCTCACCCCACTTCCAACCCCTCCCGAGCACCCAGGACAAAGCTTGTTCAGCATGTTGCAGAATCCTTCGACCTGTTCGTGGGATGGATGAGTAGAGGTCAGCATGAGTTCCAGGTGTCTCAGGTGGAGAACTGGGCTGACCCTCCTGAGATCTCTAGTTAGGCCATTCCACATGCAAGGGAGGATTTTTAATTGCTGTGGAGCGCTAATGTGATCCGCAAGTCCAATACAGCAAATGGTGGAAGATTAATAACTTGTGGAATTAGCCCAAATGTGAGCTTTATAACAGCTGTGAATATTGGGAACTACAGGATTAAGAGGTCGTTTTTGTTCTGAATTTCCAGCAAGCTTTTCTGTTTAGATCTCTCTCTGTCACACTCCCCCTCTATCCACCCACCATCCCCACCTGAGAGCCTCTTTGCCTTTGTTTACCCCCAGAGCTAGAACACCAGCACCGAACAGGACGGCCTGCAACTCCCCAGCCTGCCTGTGTGGCAGTGGCCATTCATTCCCTTGTTCATCAGAGCAGTGCCTTTCCCAGAGGTTGGCCAGAGCATCCCAGGCTGAACCAGAGTCCACAGTGAGCTTCTTCAGCCCAGCCACAAAGAAGATGCTGAAGATCGAAAAGGGGTAAAAGCGACTTGTTGGATTCTACCAGGAAGTCCATGAGAACTATAGAAACACTTACCTTAGGGAGGCCGTATAAACCTCAGAGGAGAGAAGAAAAAGGAATACCAAACCCCAGAAATGTTCTGGCCCTCTGCCAGATATAACAGGTACATCATTTGTGACCTTTACTGTCTTCGGGTTCCTAGAAAGCAGAAGTGAGATTATTAAAATTAATTGTGGGCCAGGCACCATGGCTCATGCCTGTAATCCCAGCACTTTGAGACGCTGAGACAGATGGATCGCCTGAGGTCAGGAGTTCAAGACAAGCCTGGCAAACATGGCAAAACTCCATCTCTACTAAAAATACAAAAGTTAGCCAGGTGTGGTGGTGGGTGCCTGTAGTCCCAGCTACTCGAGGAGGCTGAGGCAGAAGAATCACTTGAACCCTAGAGATGGAGGTTTCAGTAGGTTGAGATCAAACCCTTGCACTCCAGCCTGGGCGGCAGAGTGAGACTCCATTTCAAAAAAATAAATAAAATAAAATAATTGTGAAGCTGCCAGTACTAGGCATGGAGGTCAAAAAGGCACCAAAGAGAAGATCATCATCTTTGATGGAGGCTGACAATGAATTCATTTCAATTATTTTACTAGGCAAGCCACTGTTCCAGGAACTGTACTCAGCTGTGAGGCTCCGTCTAAATACCAGTTGTTGCGGGAACTACAAAGACCGTAACTCTAATGCTCATCATTTTCCTTCCAAAACATGCTTCTACCTGATGACCATTTATTAATAATTAAAGACGTTACTGTCCACCTCACTGTCACCTTCTTGGATCCCACATCCTTTATCCAGTCAGCAAAACCTGAAGACTTCACCCCCTAGATCTTTTTAAGTCCTGCCCTCATCAGTAGCACCTCCTCGCTCCTTTGCATGAGCAGCCACCCCTTAGGTGACCTAGCCTGCGCCTAAGTCTCCAGCCTTGACTCTCTCATGCCCTCCTACTCTGCACCCCATGCTTGGGGTTCTGCACTGGATCAGCAACCATAACCAGGAGGCAAATGACAAGCTGGGGGCAGTATCTGGGGCACATATGAAACTCCAACAGTTAATATATAACAAGCTACTACAGATCAATAAAATATAAGCAGTTCAAAAAGGCTGAAAGCTATAAATAGGCATTTAAAAAAGAAAAATATAAGACATAGGAGGCAAATAAATATAAGAAAAAAGGCAAGCCAGGTGTGGTGACTCATCCCCATGATCCCAGCACTTTGGGAGCCCGAGGCAGGTGGATTGCCTGAGGTCAGGAGTTCGATACCAACCTGGCCAACATAGTGAAACCCTGTCTATACTAAAAATACAAAAAAATTAGCTGGGTGTGGTGGCGGGCACCTGTAATCCCAGCTACTAGGGAGGCTGAAGCAGGAGAACCGCTTGAACCCAAGAAATAGAGGTTGCAATGAGCCAAGATCGTGCCATTGCACTCCAGCCTGGGCAACAAGAGCAAAACTCTGGCTCAAAAAGAAAAAGAAACAAAAGAAAAAAGGCTCAACTTCAATAGTAACAAAAGAAATACAAATCAAAACAAGGGCATGACATTTTCTGCTTGTGTTAGTGAAATAAGGGGGGAATTAAGATATCACCTGTAAGCTATGAAGTACAAATTGGCAAGTAATTTCTCATGAGAAACCTTGCTGTATGAAAAGAAAAGTCTTTAGAAAATCTCCATAACATTGTCTAAGTAGTTCCACTGATATAAACTTATCCTAAGAAAATTAGTGGTGAATTGGGAAAATTTTTCAACTTGGAGACGTCAAAGTTCCAACATAGAGTATTTGTAAAGTAAATTTTATACAATAAACTCTACAGCTATTTAAAAGGGGAGTGTGGAAGCATAATTACTGACATGAGACAGGTGATTAGTGGTAAGTTTTAAGAGAAAACAGTTTATACAAATTTGTGTACAATATTTTATTTAAACAACTTTTATAGACATAAAATGTCAGGAAGCATATATATCAAACTGTAAGTAATGGTTATATCTAGAATAAACTTACCCATAAGGAAATTTTGGGGAATCCTTTCTATGTTTTTCTATCTTTGAACAATAAAATGATTTATGTTTATAAGAAAAATTTGTTTAAAAAAGTGACTCAAACAAAATTGCCAATCTTAGAGCTATTATTCAATGCAAAGACTTGAGCAACTTCATTTTTAAAATATAGTCAACCGTTTAAGCCAGAAGATATTCCTTCACTTTCTAAGAGCCAGGCACGGTTGTATACTGAGATAAGCTGTACTTAAATGGTAATTCACATGGTTACTTAAGTAAATCCTGTGGAATTTCAATTTATGAAAATGTGGCTTGATTTATGAATTTTGACTATTATGCCAAAGCTATTTTGGTGTTGATTGTTAGGTAATATAAATAAAATACAATTAAAAATAAAATGACACACTTACAGGCGTATACACGTCTGTCAAAACTCATCTAACTGCACATTTAAGATCTGTACATTTTGCTGTGTGTAATCATATCTCAAAAATGTGAAGGCAGACAAAAACATTTAAAACTCTTAACGTTTTATCTTAAATTTCCAATGGGAATCTCTAAGGCTACTATACTGAATCAATTAAAAAACAAAAACAGGCAGACTTACACTTCTGACCATTATGGAGTAGTTGGTATCAGACAGACCTTCCACTGAAAATAACTACAAAAGCTGGATCTAAAAACAAAAGAATAAGTACAGCCACTTGAACCCATCAGCAAGGTACCAAGGAAGCCAAATTTCCCTGAGAACCTGGAGTTTCAAAGAGAAAGTGAAGATCCTGTAGAAAAGAAAAAACACATCACGGTGAACCAGACATTCAGTGTACAAACACCTCTCGATGCATTTTCTGCCCCTAAGTTGTGCTGGCATGGGACTGCATAATGAGAGAGAAAGCAGAAAGCAGCTGCTGAGAAGGTTGAATCTAGGCAGAAATTTTGATCTTGTGAAGTACTACAGAGAAAAATAAATGAGTTGAGGACATGCAAAGAAACAGCATAGGATTCTTACCATGCTTCAAAGAACTCCTCATTGTTATGGTTTGAATGTTCCCTCCAAAGCTCATGTTGAAATTTAATTGCCATTGTGACAGTAGTAAAAAATGGGACCTTTAAGAGGTGATTAGGGGCCAGGCACAGTGGCTCACACCTGTAATCTCAGTACCTTAGGAGTCCGAGGTGGGCAGATCACCTGAGATCAGAAGTTCAAGACATGCCTGGCCAACATAGTGAAACCCTGTCTCTACTAAAAATACAAAAATTAGCCAGGTGTGGTGGTGCATGCCTGTAATCTCAGCTACTCCAGAGGCTGAGGCAGGAGAATCACTTGAACCTGGGATGCAGTGGTTGCAGTGAGCTGACATTGCACCACTGCGCTCAAGCCTGGGCAACAGAGTGAGACTGTCTCAAAAAAATAAAAATAAAAATAAAAATTTTCTTTTTTTAAAAAAGCCGATTAGGTCATGAGGCTCCTCCCATGTGAATGGATGAATGCCTAATGTCAATATTGTAGAAGTGGGTGAGTTATCAGGAGCTCTGCCCCTCTTTCTTCTCTGTATATACTTGCTTGCCCTTTCACCCTTCCAGCATGGGATAACACACAGAGATCCTCGCTGGTTGCCAGCACTGTGCTTTTGCACTTCCTTGCCTCCGGAACAGTGAGACAAATAATCTCTTTTCTTTATACATTACCCAGTCTGATGTATTCTGCTATAGCAGCAGCAAACAGACTACGACATCCATATTGTTTCAAAGTTATCTGTTTTTACTCTCAGGGTATGTGAGCAGAACTAAAATTACATGGAAACTTTCATCTAAGCTACAAAATCTTAGTGATATAAAGGATTCTGCTAATCTTTTAGTTCAGTTATTCCCAAACTCCGCGGATTCGTGGACCCTGCACAAGTCATCACAAAGTCCATGAGAGAGGCCTGGTGTAGTGTACATTTAACAAGCGCTACCAGATGATTATTATTTTCAGGGAAGTTTGGAGTACAATGATCTAGGGCAGTGATTCTCAGAGAACTGGAGCTTGCATAGCAACATGAATATAACTTGAGTTCCTTATTTAAAAATAGAGATCCTTGGGCTTCACTCTGAGGTCTCAGTTTGTGAATTATCACAGGCAATTGTTGTGCGCAGGTAGGTGTTGACACGAGGTCCAGCCCACCTCTCCCAGTCTCCATCCAATGATTGTCCAGCCCACTCATGACTATTTCTAGAGAGGATACTTCCAGCCCCTTTTCCTGCCCATGGAGGTCACTACTTGAATATTATTGTAAACCTTTGTCAAATACTGTCTCAACAAATTTAGGAAAATGTATGCCTCTCACACCCAGCATTAAGACACAAGAATCAGACTTTTAAACTCAATTGTTCAGTTGTCATTCTTACAAAAGACTTTTCTCACTAATTTTGTCAGAAAAATACATTTTTGACTACAATCTTGTGACATCTACGTTTACAGGTCCTTTGGGAGTGAATGGAACTTGTAGATCCAACTAAAGACCACGATTTTGTTTCTCAAAGGCTCCAAGTGATAAGTGGTTGCTGTATTAGGAAACAACCTTTTTTTTTCCTCCAGAGAGGAGAATTAAAAGACATCCATAGTCAACTTGACAGTTCAAAGCATGGCGTCTATCATCCATAAACACCTCCACAGTCTCACAGAGAAGAGGAGGGAAAGACAGCTGCAATAAGAACCCGGACACATTTATATGGCTCCCAAAGCACACGTGCAATGTAGGATTTTAACTTTTCCCATGGATAGCTGGTGTTGATGAAGAGGACCTAACTTGAGCCAATAAGGTTCAGAACATAAACATTTACAAGCATAAGGGAAAGCATGGACAATCATGATGCAGTTCCCTGCACTCTGCTTCCGCTGTTTGCTAATGAGTGATTTTATTTCTCTGAACCTCACTTTCCTCATCTGTAAGATGAGACTTGTCATACCTTCCCTTACTGTGCAGAGTAAGTAGGATAGTAAATGAAAACTGCCTAGCCCATGAATGGCATTCAATCTACGGTAGATATTTTTTAGTTGTTAATAATGCCCTTCCCAGGCCATTTTCAGATGCTCCTGAGTTAGATTCAGTCAGGAATTTCTTTAACGGCTCCAAAAGGACACAGCATTGTCAGCGTCTTGGCT